ACTTGCTTTAGTCACACCACTTGCCCACTTGCCTGCACCACTTGACCACTTGTCTGCACCACTTGCCCACTTGCCAACCTTCTAGAAGGACTGCAGCTAGCCTTCTAATCTACAGGTCTACGGCTCGAATCCTRRCTACSTATAGACCTACGACAGACCTACCTACCACTGGCGGTTCTACAGGTCGCAGGTTCAACTCTTCGAGTTGACGCAGGTATTGTACACAGGTAAGTTGGGAAACTAGGGATCGAGCCCTGGGATCTGTCTCAGCTACCACGAATTGGTGAATACCGTTTCAGCTCCTGATTTCTCACTCTTCTTGGGCAGAGCAGCATGAAGGGGAGGAAGGCTGTGAAACGGTTTTCTTATCGTGCGCATTCTGAAGGAACTCAGAACAATTATACATTTGTATGTTTTGATGGACAGATCAAAGGTTCAAATCCGGCCACAAACACCTGAAAGACCACCCCCCGTTCTACTTAACGAAGTAAAGAAAGAAAAAAGGCACTGACACAGTGGGGATTTGCCTGGTTCTGATTGGACTGCAGGGAATGGGGGTTCCACTTCGTCAGCTGCCACAGATTTGTATGTTGTGCTGAATGCCAGCACCGTGGAATTACCTGGAGTAGAGAAATACATGGTGAGTTCTAGGCACCACCTCTTTTCTTTTATTTTTTATTTTTTTAGGGTCCATGCTAATCTTCTCTGTATAGTTCGAATTTTAATGAATGTCCCGAAGTGAGTTCTAGGCACCATCTCTTTTTTTTTTTTTTTTTAAGGGGCCATGCTAATCTTCTCTGTATCGCTCCAATTTTAACGGATGTCCCGAAGTGAGTTCTGGGCACCACCTCTTTCCCATCCACCCCAGTAATTCAATTCTTGTTATCTTTCTGGATTCTTGACTGCTATATATCCCATAGTAAACTCCTATCACTGCTATCAGTCTGTGCCAAGAATTGCCTGAGGCGGCGAGGCCAAAATTAAATCGTCTTTTGCTGCCTAATCCACAAGGCTTCCGTTCTGATGACGGATTGAGGTGGAGCAAGATGTCAGCATTCTTTGGAATCCACACCAGCTTGTCCGGCAGGGTGACTGTTAGCTATGGATATGCCTGTGAATCTCGAGTTGCTCAAGGAGCAATCAATGTGGAGGGAGCGGTATTGAGCCGGGTGTAACAGCAAGCGGCATCTTTTCCTCCTCGACAGTTCCTCCAAATCCCACCCCTCTCTCTCTCTCTCTCTCTCTCTCTCTCTCTCTCTCTCTCTCTCTCTCTCTCTCTCTCTCTCTCTCTCTCTCTCTCTCTCTCTC